ACAACAAACAACCCTACGATAAGTACTATACTTATTCGATGAACCGTGCAAAATTGACCGCCAACGACGAAAACGTATACAGTCAAACAAACTTACGACCTCGTTTTCTTTATTATGAATGAGTCCAGACTTGTTCCTGACGCGTTACTTCCCAGCTACCTTTTGCGGTACCAAAATAACGTCTTAGTAATTACTTTTAAAGGAAAGGAACGAGTAGCGTATTTTCGTTACTTTTTCGTATTAATGGTATTTGATTACTACTAGAGAAGAACGTGTACAATGCAAGTTTTCCTGTTCGGCTTTCACCCCAGCTAGCGTCTGTGATTTTCGCGGCAAAAAAGCGCGAACAAGGAAGTAATCCAGATGCTCATGAACGCGCTTAAAAGCTACGCATTAGTAACAATAAAAAAAAAAGTGGCACCAGTCTTAGAAAAAATAAGACACATCCAGTGCAACGAGAACGTAACTGGTTACATTTGAGCTGATGTAACGCGATCCTTATGAATCTAAGTAAATAGTAACGGTACTTAGTTTTTATCAGCAACGTGTACCTGTTTTTGATTAACTGTGGTTTTGCCGCCGTAATTTTAGCCAGAGATGTGGCTCTAGGTTATAGCACGTTTCTCGTCTTCTTAAGCGGCTTAGTAAAACAAATTTATCGTACGAATACCCTCGAAGATTTAGCCAAAGATTTCAGGGTCGCCGCTGCCGGCTATAGCCGGCTGCACCTAGCCTGACTCATTCCGCATTGACCTCCAACGGGCTGATCACGACTCGATAAGAAGAACCACCGCGTTCATTCCGTCGCCCCGGCTCTGCGGAATTGCAGTCCTTGGGGTTGTCGATTTAGCTTTTGATGTCCGTCGGTTTTCGTGACGCCTGATCTTACATACAGTCTAAAAAAATTACGGCGCATTGCTAGGCAATTCGCCGTAATACGTGAAACGTTTTATTACCACAGACGTTTAGCGACGAAAATAATCCCTGGAGAAGGGGAACAGGAGGGACAAAGGACAAACACAAAACTCCAAACACAGCTAGGTGACTGGTGCGCGACCGAAAAAATCCGCCTGGTGCGGGTATCGAACCCGGGACCTCTCCATTTCCAATGGAGTGCTCTTCCAACCGAGCTAACCAGGGGTTAGACGTCAGTAGAGCAAACGGGTTTTATCAGCTGCCGCCAGTCTAACACCAACAAGGGTGAAAGGCTTGCGTCTGGCCTCTGGAAACTCCGAGTTTCCAGAGGCCAGAAGCCTTCGTCATCAGATAGTTTAACCCGTACCATCTGTACACTTGACAGTTGTTCCTAGAATGACGCGATGCTACCGCTAATCCGGCTGACAAACCTAGCGATCTTCCGGAGCCTTCCATACTTTCGACCTCCTCTCCCTCAGCGCGCACAAGTGGTCGAGCTCCTCCTCGCCCACTTCACTCGTCCTCTCTCACCCGACAACCAATCAGTGTTGAGCATCGAGTCCACGCTTTTATCTGGGCTTCACGAAATGTCCGAACACCCGGCCAAAGAACGTTTCACGTTAAAGATCCAGTGCATTTCCTTCCTCCCAAAGCACTCGGGATATTCAGTCGCTGCAATCTACAGTGAGAGCACGGCGAATTGCGAAGCTGCAAATATGGTTAGATTTAAAAGTACGGCCTGCACTGGGACACTGACTGTGACGTTTCACGTGTTTACGTCGTGCTGGTTCATAGCGTAGAATATATTTATGGGTATGTTCTTCGTTTCATAAGTCTGAACGGGGTCTAAGGTTCGAACACATACAACCACGAAAACGCATGCTAAAAGCGTAAGGCACGGATCTTCATTGCACTTAGTTGGTTAAGCCGATGATAGAACGCTTTAATGAAGTTCAAGAATGACGAACACTGTGACGGTGCACTTTTGGTGTTTTTTTTTATTTGTCCTATTTATTCGTACCATCGGCCTTGAGGCGAAATGAAGTATAAAGACATTTCCATTCTCGTCCTTGGCTGAGTTCCCTCTCTGTAGATTGGAGCTATTGGCTCACTCAAGTGCTTTTGTGGGAAAGTAGACGGCCCAGCTTTTTTGGAGTGTATCCGTCGGAAAGAATGCAGGACCCTACGATGCAGCTTTGATTGACGCTCGTTGGATGCGGGAAGTCGCAAATGTACACGCTATTGCCCTTCCTATAGTCAACCCAGAAGAAGCTCAATCTTACAGCCTTTGTTCTGTCAAGTCTTTTCATAAAGCGCGTTTGAGTCACACTCGAGATACATCCGCAGGTTTTTTGGCCTCGCATAAGAGAACTTGCTTTTTCCGAGCCGTTGCTGGCATATGGATATGTGCGTCTGCTTCGCATAAAGCTTTGAAGAACACGGACGACGAAACGCAAGCAATTTATACCTCCAGGAGTAATGCAAGAACTTTCGGTGAGGTCTGTTTTGACTAAAATTTGAGACACGGTCTTGTATACTTTCTCTCTCCTCTCTCTCCCTTTCTCTTTCTTTTTCTCTCTTTATGCACAAGGCAAAAAAAATGTATATATATATATATATATATATATATATATATATATATATAATCACTCGGAGCATACATACCACACAAGCGTATCTAAAGTTCGTCCTTTCGTATGGATAGTTCTACAGCCACTGATAGCTTGAGAAATGCAGGGCATGAATTATTATGTCCATTATTCTTGCTTTGTGATTTGTTCCTCGGTGTTCTTATCGTCTATTTCCGCATCTGATTGACTGCTAAACTATAATGACTTAATCGGAGCTTCTTGCGCCCCACGTTTCGTAAGCGGTCAGTGACTACATTCCCGTAACAATTATCACATCTCGCACGAATCTGACACGGGCAGTCGATTGGAGCAAAAGGAAAGATGACCACTTGTCCTCGAGAATCCGTCGGAAAAACGTCACGGGAACGGAAATCTGACAACACTGTCACTCGCGTCCTGTCCACTTCTATTTCACACTGGTCACATGACTGCCACCGCATCCCAAGCTGCAGCGTTAACCTGACAAAAACAAAAACTAAACTGTCGCTGCCTTGACGTACGAGCGCTCTCTCTCTCTCTCTCTCTCGTCAAATGAGACGATCATCTGCAAAGCCGAAAATGCGAGAAGACTCTAAAGCGCGTCACAAAAAAAAAAATGCATCTAACCCCGGCTCTAATTTTATCCCGAGGAACGAACAGTCTCGCATGCAGGGACGGCTCCTGTGCCTCTGTGTCCTCGTTGACAGAGCAGCGTGTCTTGGATCCGTTCCCATGCTCTTCTTCGTTGTCACTCTCCCCTGGCCGTCGTTAGGGCCTCGTCCGGTGACCGTGCCACGGCGGAAGAATGGAGTAGCCGGCGATCAAAGAGCCGCCATTGTTAATGTTGCCTTTTGACTAGGCAGCTTGATGAAAGCGACTCTTGACCTCAGTTGTCTCGGCGTACCCTTTATGGGCGTCTGGCCAGCTGTGGGGCGGATCTTCGTGGGTTTTGTTGTTGTTTTTGTTTGCATCCTTCAAAGTCTGGCCACGGGGCGGGTGGATCTTCGTGGTTTTGTTGTTGTTTTGGTTTTTCTATTGATCTTTGTGTGTGGTCGGAATAAGAGGCAAGGAAGTGGCAGAGGCCGAACGTGAGAGTTGAACGATGAGAGTGGTATTTAATAAGTGGTTCGTGTTTTAGAAGGATGATTTGACAGGTCCATTAATCGTGAAGTATATTGTTGTTTTTGCTGTTTTTGTTTTGTTATCTTTTAAAGGCGAAGTCACGCAGTGTGACAGGAACGCGGGATCCCGAGCTTTTGCCTTTCCCGCCCAAGAAACGATGGATATGTGACATTTGCTTTTAATGCGAGAGCGATTTATGATATGTCGGATAAAAACGTATCATTATCTCGACACTTATGTTTTTGCACTAATGAACACATGACGTTTAAAGCTCTTGAGATCTGTTATCACGCTTCATGCCTTAAAAGTCGCAAAGCAGCAAAAATGCCCTATCAATGTCCACAAGACATTCCTGGAACGTTAGGACATTCTAAAGACATTCCCAGGACTAAGAGTGGTACGGGGAGGGGGGGGGGGGGGGGGGGAGGGGGATGTCTGTCTTAGTTGGAAATCGTTAGTGAAAAGACTAACTCGAGAAGAATAGGATAGCAAGCTGTTTGGTGAAACATTGCAGCACTTAAGCATAACTATGATCTATGAAAATATCTTACTTGGTCCCGCCTGCTACGAAAACAGCTTTCTTTTTATCAGATTTGGCTCATATCGTTGGAATATGGACGAAGTTTGACTTGGCGCCCGATATGTCGGGTTTTATAAGTTTGTTTGCCGAAGGTATGCGTTTAACGTTTTTATTTCATTTAGTTTTGGCAAATAATCCGTGTCGAAGGTTCAATTTCAATTTGAGGTGTGCGGTCCACCTATGAAACAGTCAAAACGATTCTGAACCCTCGATGTCTTTTTAATCTTCGTAGTATAGTGGCATATGTAAAGTTCACAACAGCACTGAGAGGGTGCCCTTTGGTCCATCAAGTAGTCGAGATACTTATCCAAAACCATATGCAAATAAGTACGTTAATCACTATAATTCTAAAAGCTAGAAGAACATTTACAGAGTGCTCAGAGCCTCCTCCTATACCGGTTCCTCTTTAAACGAGCTTGCTGCCGACGTGCATTAGCGTAATTGGGACTTGATATTGCGCATATATTGCGCGATGCAGGTTAGCAACCCTGCCCCATTGACCTAATATCCCACTACAGCTGATAGATGGATCATTAAGAATTTTAGATGATTCCCATGGCTGCACTGTAGTATAACTCTAGATATGTGTATAAAATCACGGAAGTTTATTTTGTCTAAATCTAAAACCACTAATTATGGAAGTTAATAAAGAGCGAGCACACGCGCTGAACGTTTTCTCCGCGAGTATTTTCTGGGCTCGAATGCCGGTTTTTTGTTTATTCTCCTTCGTCGTCGATGACTAATAGCGTTCTTTTTTTTCTCTCTTTTTTCAGGTAACCATGTCAGATGTGGCCGATTCTGTAAGTAATCCTCAATCCCCAGTGAATGGCATCTTGGATGAACCACTGACCCTAGACTTTGACCCAATGAGTTTTCAGTTGTCCTCCCCAACCGAAAGCAAACCCCCCATTGAGCTGGTCGACTCCTCCCCCGAAGACCCTCCGTTCATTAACGAGCCCGTGGAGCCGCCTAACATTACTAACTACAAATACAACCCCAAGTCCTACCTGTTGGACCTCGACTCGCTCCAGGAACTCCAGACGAACATGCAGTCCACGTCATCCGCGACCGTTGCGACGAACCACACGTCTCAGGGGAGCGACCAACCTCCGGACTTGCTCGTCGACCTCAGCGACAAAGCGTCTGGCCCTCAGGCATCCATTCTGGAAGAGGACGAAGACGAACTCGACCTGACCGACCCCAAAACGGAAGACGACTCTCGAGAAATCGACCTATCCGTAGAAGCGTCCGAGTCATCCTCTAGTCTTAACCAGGAGATTTCGAGCCCGCTTCCGGACTTGCAGAGTCCAACCCAAGAAAACTCTGGTTCACCGTTGGGTGCGGCGTACCTGCCGGATGCCGGGTCTCCGAGTCATCTGGCCAATGGCCTGAAAAGCGCGAGTCCTCTTGAACTAGTGGATCTTTCGAGTCCCGTCGATGAAAAACCGTTGTCACCTTTCAGTCCGCAGAGTCCGACGCGCCCTTCGGACCTGCCGTACGAAGTCACGACGCCGGCCGACGAGAGTCCCGGGTGCGAACCGCGTCCGGTGGACGACGTCGTTGAGCTCGAGTGTGTGGTTGGAACCGCGGTTGGCGAAATTCAGAGCTCGGAGTATCTGGTAAGCAGCCCCGAAAGTGAGGACCTGGCTTGCTTCGGGGAGGAAGTGGTGAGTCCCCTGCCGGACGCGGCGTCAACCACTGAAACGGGCACCACGAGTTCCGACATGGAGACGTCTTCGAGGACTACCAGTGCGGAAACGGTGGCGTGCGCGAGTCCCTTCAACACCATGGATTCGGCCAGGAGCCCCGACGGATACGCTGAACAGTTGGAACAGCCTCTCGACCCTGTGTTTACGTCTAACTACACATGCACGTCCGCCGCGACCCCCTCTCCTACTCACCCCTCCGATGTGGCAGACTCACCCGAGCATGATGATAGCAGTGAGGACGAGTTTGAGTATGTGGCCGTAAGTACTTGGCGTTCCTCTAGCCTTGTGGGCTTTGCTCTCTTACGTAACGTTTTGTTGGCTGTTTATGTCAGCATATGCTTCGTCTGTCAAACTCTCACGCACATTACCCAAATCGGTGCGGCCAGCGTTATATGGGTTGGTATGGTTCAAGCTGAATATGCATGCACTAATATCTTTTTGTCTGACATAAAAAAAAAATTGGCATGAGCGTATTTCTTTTCGTGAAATTACCTTGTTCTCCGGGTTTAACTTGAAAATTAAACGTATCCTACCTTTGTTGTGAAAGTTCAAGAACTACAATTTTACTTTTATTTGTTAAATAGAGATTGGACTAAACGCTGAAACAAAGTTTTTTTTTTTTCCGCTAACCCCTAGACTGACGCTGCCAATTAAGCATATATCGAAATAATGGGAGTCTCTATCTTCAAGATAAACTTTGTCGGTTTGTTGTATCCACTAAGTGAAAGATTAAACTGCCTCTACGACATTTCTATCATATACATTAAAGAGCTACTTAAATATGTATATATATATATATTGTATTATTGGTGTAACTTAGGTATAGGTATAATGCGAGGGCACTTCAACTTCCAATTTCTGGGCTACATAAAGCGCGCTCTTCACACAATTTTTTTCACGTGGAAGAAAATTGCTGCGTAAGATCAGCAATTTAAATTAATAGAATTTTAAAAAAAAACTTTCAGTGGCAGTGACAAAATGTCAGAACATATCAGCTTTTCTTCAAATTCCATTCAGGAATGCCTACTTGCCGCGCGCCGCACCAGCCTACCATCATAAATTATTCAAGCCCATCACACGCCAATGATGTGTGTTATCTGTGCTTAAAAAAATAAAAGCAAGCGGCGCGGTGCGTTGGGCATATTCTCATTAACCCATTCACCTCTTTCTTTTTTTTTCTACTGAATAGCGTGGCTATTGTAGCGTGATGCCGTTTGCCCCTCCTAGTATCTAAACTGATCAAACCAGCATAACTGATTGGCGTTTACCTGTGTATAGAGAGACAGTCTACATGCCGTCTTTTGTAAAGGCGGTACACCGTCACCGCTGTTTCTGGTGCTTTTAACTTCGGGATCTATTTTAATTAAGGTCAAGTCAGATATATCTTTAGTATACGTATTACAGCTCTTTTGTGCAGTACGAAGGATGCGCTTGTTCAAGTTACAGAAAGTTTTAGAGCAAGGGACTTCGACGCTTTGGGTACCAAAAGCAGCTCTGGATGTCGAACTGCTCATGCTCTATTCCGCTCCCCCCTATTGTAGAACTCTCTAACGTCCCACAAAAAAATTTCGGTAGGTTTGCGTGTTGTTGAAGCCTTCGTCCTCGCGTCCGCAGTCTGGAAGCACAAAGTCCAGCGTCCTGAAGACTAAAAAGGCCGTCGCGACGACAACTTCGATGACGACGCGCGACGGTGTGACGGTCGAGAAGGTCTCGGTCACCAGCACGGCGATGGCACAGTCCATGGAGCAAATCGGCAAGAGGAGCGCCTACGACACCCTCAACGGCCTTGCAAGCACAAACGGCGTAAGATCATTGCCATAGTTTCTTATAACTGATGACTGCTTGGTGTCATACGATACCACAGGGCTTGGAACCCCCTCTTTAAAGACTACTTGGAATCCCTTCTTTCAACACGAAGCTTCTTGCTCTGCGATTCGTACTTCGGTGCTCTTACCGGCTAATGCAGCAAGCTTATTGGCTATGGAGCGATAATATGCTCTAGACTCACAACAACTTTCGTTTCTTAGATTGTCAGTGACCATAGAGACCGTTAAGTAACGGGCGGTAGCTTGCGCCTCCTAACCTAGAAACGAAAAACCAAAAGTGCGATTCCTCCCTTCATCCTTTCAAGCCAATTTACTTCCCGTCTACAATTTTGTATCTAGCCTGTACCATAACCTTCGTTTCTCAGGTTAAATATGAGTATAAAGACCGTTGAGTAAGTTAATTCAAATACCAGATGCAAGATTCGTCCACGCGGCATCTTACAATCGAAAAGCCTGGCCTGGCAACACTCATGCAGCGAAAATTGAAGAGTTCGCCCTCAGGTTTGCGAACTAGATTGTCTCTTAACGTACGCACCTGCATGACACTTGGTTTTGTTACGTCATGAAATAATTGAGATACGGCGTATAACAGATAGCTTCTACGCAGGAGACCGTTACGCGAACAAGTTGTCTGGTGGTCGTAGCTTTTTCTGCAGCTGGGCAGGGTTGATGGATTAGCGACGAAGCAGGACAAGAACACCGCGATGTGCAATATGACGTTGAGAAAGGAAATGACATTTGCGGGTACAGAGGACTGTTGTTAGTTGTGTTGCGTTGTTGTTGTTCTTGGGCGTGTTGTGTATATCTTTATGTCGCATGCACAAAGTGAGTGTTGTTGTGTCACAGGAGTCGGAGTTCTGCGGAATAAGAATGATGTAAGTATGTCGCTTGTCCACGTGTTTGTGCAAATGTTACTTTTGTTTTCTGCACGATGGTCTGGAGTGTATCGTGAAGTGTACGCCATTGCCTGAACTGCATGCTCCCCTACCGGGTATTGCAAACTGTGCCGCGCTCAACTTACGCAAATCTCATATTTGCATTCTGCACTGCTCTTCTTGATTACTGTTGGACAAACGTTTTTCTAACTGAAATGCCATTTTTCCGTTCCCATCTAGCCTTATGTAACGTTCCTCCTAGAGGAGGCATGATCACGTAGCCAAGATTTCTGCAGTTGGGTTATGAGTAGGACGTTCACATGTCACGGTCGCTGCAATTGGAAGAACACAATTCGCAATTTTGAAGATGTTCAGTTTAGTTTTTTGAGATGGTTCTGGCATTAATTTTAACTTATTAACAATTTTTGAGTCGATTGTTACAGTTGTGCATCGTGTTTGATTTCTAACAGCTCACTAACGGGTCAGACGACGAAGTCGACCATGTTGCGATCGAATGTCCAGTTTCTGTTTCGAAATTGGTAAGATTTTGTTTGGTATTTCTCGCTTCCCGCGAACAGACAGCGCTCTTTCTTGCGAAGCATTGAGCTGTAGAATGTCTACCTTGTACTTACCCGTACAATCATGCATTTTAATCAACTGCACAATTAAATAACAATTTTCCAAAAATAAATAGCATTTGTACAGTTTTTTTTGTGTCGTACAGTTTAAACCATTTTTGTACTCAAGGGAACTGAAGCATCTACTTTCACCGTTTTACTAAAATTTGACACTTATACTTGAGTAGCTATTGCTTGATGTAGAACGAAAGTGTCCTGATGGCAATTCCTGACTAAGTTATCACATTTTCGCTCTGAGTAATATGCAACATAGCGTTTAAATAGCACAGTTTTAACATTTATCTAAACAGAATATAACCACATTTGTACTAAAACTAATGTTTGTACAGTAAATAAAGATTAATCATACTGTGTGGTATAGTGTAAATGAACAGTGGGAGTGCCAAAACTTAAGTCTATAATCAGTGACAGTTTAAGAAACGTTTTTAGTGTCATTATGGTCACTGTCCTTGATTCATGATTCGATCTTCGGCATTGTTATCCGTTACTGCCAAAATCTCATTCGCTGCGGAGCGACATTAAGATGGTCGGGGTCCATAAGCTGGCAGTGACTATATCAGTTTGAGACTTCATTTGTATTTATATACAAGCTTCCCTGACGCAAACACAAATACTTAAAAAAATTAAGGTATACATCTTTTTCTTAAAATACTTTAATCACAAACCTTAGGTTTCTAGGGTGTCTCAAGTGGACCTTCCGCTTTAAAATGAGCCGGAGAAATTGGCACCTGCACATCGAAGTGCCCAAACTTTCACCAAATGTGCACAGAGTTGGTTAGCTTTACCGCGTGAAATTTCAAAGCGTAGTTCTGTTCCTGTAAAACCAAAATGAGAAAAAACAACTTGCCGAATTCAAGGTTGAGCGAGTTTCCAGACAGACGAGTTAGCGACGCTGTTTACTTGTGGTGCCATCTTCCGATAGGAGCAGCGAGCGGATAACAGAGTGCGTCGTCTGCTTGCTGCCCCTATCGGGAGATGGCGCCATAGGTAAATAGCGTCGCAAACTCGATCGTCTACGAATGCGGGCTACCTCCACTTTGGAACGCTTTTTGCTGTCAGTTTTCATTTAAAGAAAGATAACTACGCCTTGAAATTTCACAAGGTATAGCTGACCTGTTCAGTGCACATTCGGTGAAAGTTTGAATTTTCTATGTGCAGGCGCCGATTTTTCCGGCTCGTTTTACAGCGGAACGTCCGCTTGGGATACCTTATGTATAAATCTGAATAACAATACACGTGGCACGCTTTTGATAAAAATAAGACCAATGTAAATCAATTTAGCCTAAGCTTTGTATTTTTTGACTGATTCTATTTCACACCTTTTCCCCTGTATGTTCTAATTAGTGATCCACGTTTCTTCATGCAGTAGTAGCATATCGAATTGACATGAAAAAATAGGTAAGTTGTAACGCAGGTGTTACGCTACAGGCAGTAACAGGACTTCAATGCATTACCCGAACAAATTTTCACAGTACTTAACTATCTCTTTAAACCAAATTCGTCAAATCAACGATGAAATTATTTATTTATGGGACAGATCAGAACCTTTACGATTCTGATATATCCCAAACTAATTTCTAAGAATTTGTTGTGAAAGTAGTAATCCTGTTAAAGCTATTATTGCTTTTGAACTTGGTGAGATCCATTTAATTTTTCACTTTGTTCACCACAGAAAGACGTCTACATTTCAACGGACAGAGACACCGTCGATGCTGAAGCCTTCAGAGAAATAGCCGTTACGGGCATTAACCTCAAATCACTGGTATGCATCTTCAGAGGTCTAATTATTAGTAGTATTTTGTCCGTAAAAAAAACCGTTTGAGACGTTTCTAGTTTCACAACTGGCTTTAGGTTCTGATCATGAATAAATATATCGGAGTTGCATTAAAGGAGGCGGTAGTGTTTCTCATCATAGTTTTATTATAATATAAGTTACGACACACTTATGGCTGAGGTATGTCAGTATGTGCTGCTGGTATAGTTGCAATAAGAATCCATAATATTGCATTTAAACGACTTCGATTTTAGCGAAGAACTAGATTTCTTTTTTTTTTTTTTTTTGCTAACAGCAAATGCGGAATATTTCAAATAAAGCAGGATGCAACTAATTGTTTGAGCTAAATATGGCCAGGTTGAGTTTGCCAGTACAGAGTAGTGTTGACAGATGAAATCAGCTAATGGTTGCAAATGTACTCACACCCTCTCTCTTGTTGTGGAAATTTAGATGGACTCCGTTACAACGTTCAGAGTGGAAAATTGCACTTCTTATGTACAAAGCAAAAGTTGTTTTCTTTTTTTGCTCGTCGCACTTATTTAAATTATAAATTGTTACCTCTTTGTTTCATCAACTCACGTCCGTTGCTGTTTCGAAAGTAATAGCGACGACTTTGTGAAACTGCCGTTTGGCATAACACAAATGACGGGTTAGATGCAAAGGGGGCGTTTATATTAAAGTTACAAGAGCGCGTATAGATGGTGTCACCGGACAATTTATAGGGTGGTCCAAGTCACCAGGCTCGATCTAATATGGACCATAAAAATGGACGCCTGCACGTTGCAATCTAAACTTTTCGTCAAAGGTGTATATCACAGGTCGGTTTTTTCTTGTAAAATTACAAAGCGTAGTTCTCTTTCTGTAAAAATTAAGGCCAAGAAACTTGTAAAGGTCTACGACAGGCAGCGACGCAGACGACAGGGGTTCAGTAGCGGGGTGTATTTGACGTTCGTATTGATAGATGGCGCTACCTCCTTATCGCGACGGCTCACGACCACCGTGGTTTATTAGAATGAACATAATCGTTTTCAAAAATACCTTCGTTAAAAAATAAATGCAGACAATAAAAGCAAAATTTAAACTAAAAAAACGCGTCTGCATAACGGCGGCGCTTTTGCTGCCAACGGATTTCGTCTGCGTGTCGTCTGCTTTCTTTCGCTGGTCGGCTGCACCTTTGGACGCTGCTTCCGGCGCCATCTATTAATACGAACGCCAAACATACCCCGCTACTGAACCCCTGTCGTCTGCGTCGCTGCCCGCCGTAGACCTGGCAAGTTTCTCGGCCTTACTTTTCACAGAAAGAGAACTACCCGTTGTTATTTTACAAGAAAAAACCGACCTGTGAAATACACCTTTGACGAAAAGTTTAGATTGCTACGTGCAGGCGTCGATTTTTACGGTCCATTTTAGATCGAGCTTGGTGACTTGAACCACCTATAGTATATACAGGGTGTGCGTGTGTGTGTGTGTGTTTTAAGCGTTACAGATTAAAAAGAAAACGTGAAAATTACACTTATGTTGTTTGTGCAGGTGAGTTATACCGCTTGGGGGACATTATGTGGCTGGCTAATCTTTGCGATAAGTCAAAGAATTGATTAAAGTTCCTTAATTAACTTTTTAAGAAGTGAAAATAGACAGATGGTTCTAATTAGAAACTTACTGAGCGTCATTGAAAACAATTATATCAACTCTTTTTGGAGCGACTTGAAGCTCGTGGGAAACTCGGGGGGGGGGGGGGGGGGGGGGGGGGGGGGCACCGAAGTTATTTCTCGTGCAGCAGGCGCAAAGCTAGCAGTGGAAAAATCGCGAATGATAAGATTATCATCGCGTTTCGCCACTGCTAGCTTTGCGCCTGCTTCACGAGCGGTCACTTTGGTGCGCTCCGAGTTTCCCACGAGCCTCAAGTCGTTCTAAAAAGACTTGATTTAATGATTTTCGATGACGCTCAGTAAGTTTCTAATTAGAACCATCTGTCTATTTTCACTACTTAAAAAGTTAATTAAGGAATTTTAATTATTTCTTTGACTTATCGCAAAGATTAGCCACCCACATAATGTCCCCCTGGCCGCATAACTCACCTGCACAAACCGAATAAGTGTAACTTTCACGGATATTTTTAAACAAATCTGTAAAGCTTTAAAAAAAACTGTCTGTTAACCTAACTTCGAGGTATCCACCCAACGTTCTCCCAGCCCAACTAATATGCATCGCACTCCACGTGTTTATGTTGTGTTTTGCTATGCACCGTGTGCAGTTTTTTGGTGTTTTATAAGAAAACAGATAACACCTTTTTTTCTATTTTCTTTTTGCATTGAAATAGTAGTAAACTGCGATCCACTGAATGCTCAAACTCAAGCCGAGAACGTTACTCAATTGAGTGAAAGATAGAAGGGTTCCCGGAACTTCTTAATGAGAGAATGGCATTCTACTTCGGCAGCATGTCTTTATGTGTTTTGCGGAACGCCCCCCCCTCATTGAGCGTTTGTGGCAGTACACTTACAATGTGACCATTAGGATAAGCATTTTGAATTGAAGCTCCACTCTTACATCATCGCAACTAGGACTAACTTTAATCTGAATTCGAGCATTATGTGCTGCATGGTTCGTGTTTACGATACAAAAAGCAGTATAACGTTTTTGTTTGTTTGTTTTCCCCCGAAGCACCCAGCACCTTTACCGTGTTTGCATGCTGATCGTGTTTTGTTTGCATCCCCGCACGTGACTTGTAGAAATGTCAGTACGAGCAGACTGTTGCGGAGCATGAGACCCTGTCTCCCACCCGCGAAATCATTAGCACCGGAATTGACTTCAAATCTTTGGTGAGTATATGTAACAATCAAATTTATCGCAGAGGTAAAAAAAAAAGGTGCATTGCTGTAACCAGGGAGTAATCTAATGATATTATGCGCCTAAGGTTCGTTAAATTTTCCTTTGAAAACAAAATCAATTCCTATACGATTTGTCCAATAAACATGTAAGAACCTGTGAGCTACATAAGGTTACATTGGTTATTCTATGGTCTTATATTTTCTCATATCCTTTTTAGACCTTTTCGCATTTTTTGCTAGTAGAGAAGTCTTTGTAAAACCGCCTTCACTCTCACAAAAAAAAAGTGGTATATTTTTACACCTTTTGTCTTATATAAGACACCCCAAAACTTCAATTCGACGTACAGCGCACTGATGTCGAACAGACACAACCAACTTTCACGAGCGGGTTCATAGCCGTGGGATACGACTTATTGAAATAACTAATGTACGTTTTACTGCCTACGAAAATCAATAGTCGGGGGTGTTCCTGGCCCTACTGCAGAACCCCAGTGTTTTCTTTCTGTAGTCTTTGATACGTGCTTTTCCCTTTTAATAAGTTACATCCAACCGTTATCAAGCCTCTTGTAAAGTTTAAGGCCGTCTTTTCGACTACAGGGCGCTGTACGTTTGGGGCGCATTATATGCTACGAAAATATGTGTTGTCCCGTCCCCTGTCTTTACGTATATATAACTCTTTCTAAACTTACATCATTACCAACGCGACCACCAACAAGTATAAAAAGTCTACAACGACAGCTTTTTTTTCTTTTTTTTTTTTTAGTGTTGATGCCAATTTTGTAAATTAATATCCATTGTCAGCTCGTATTATTTTCCTTAGTTCGGGAGAGAAAGATGCTTAGATGGTCTTCAACCTTCCAGAATAATGAGATGTATTGGCATTGAGTGTGGTCTGGTGTCTAAAGGATCGTTTACACACTTGCAACCGAGTACGACCGAGAAAGACAAGACCTGTTGAAACCTCTTAGCATTTCTTAGGACGAGAGCATACACCGGCACACTGGCGGCATCTCTGCGGTGACCCTAGAACTGCATTTCACAAGAGCATTTCCGAGGTCAAATATGCGTAATACCTACGAGAAGGGCTCATTTATAACGTTGACAAAAGTTTTTTGACCCAAGAAAAAAAGTATAATGCACCAGAGAAATAGGAAATCTGACGGACTGCCAAGTTTCCACAGCTACCCAATAGATGGCGCCAGTGTGTCCTCTCGTCGTAAGAGATATTATAAGGTTCTAAAGCACTCGGTTCTAAGAGGTCGCAAGTGTGTCAACGGGCCTTAACTGAAAGACTATCCCATAATAACACCATAATTTCCCATCGCTTATCACTTTGAAAAAAAAAAAAAAAAAACACAGCTCTAGAGTCGTAGAGACCACCGAGCGTTACCCCGTTTGGCTCATTTTTTTGCTAAAATCTCCGTTTTGCCTTTTAATGTGAAGAGCATTGAAGATAAAACTCCCAGAACCTATAGAAAACCCTTTTTTCTACCAATCTTGGGGATTTTATCGGCACTTTTCTTTTTCGTTCATTGTCTCATTTTGGGACAAAATTCGTGGAAGTGCGTCCCAGGATAATTGTCTTCAGTGTTATCTTTTGTTGTTCCCTTTTGTTTTAGAAGCACAGCTACATCTCGCCACTGAATAACAAATACCAAACGCTGAATCATGTTGCAGAAGACATCGTGCCTATTGACATTAAATCTCTCGTAAGTACAAGAACCTTAGTTTGTAAGTTCGGGATACTCTTGAATGGTGACGACCAGATACAAGTGGAAGAAAACCCTATAAGGCTCATGGTAATGGTGTCGCATCAACCCCAAGCAAAAAGCAACAATACTGCAACATGTGCCCCCTAGATCCGAACTTCTAGTTTTTAGATTAGTGCCTCTGTGATTGCAGTCATCTGGAAAGATTGAACTTTGAGCTTTATTGAACTTTATTTTCTACAGCAAATTTGAGCCGAGGATACCGGACAGAAATATTTCAGTCGGGAGCTTGATCCGGTGCCCCTGCGCGTATTAATTATCGATGTATTTTAAGAACGATCAGTGATTGAATGTTTATTTTTTAAAGTATGTACTACTTAGTGTTCTATTTTGTATACTGTTGCACTTCTGTAACAGCCCCTACGGGCTAACAGTATAAATAAATAAATAAAAAAGCGTTTAACCAAGTTCATAACTGTGTTCGGTATATAGTAATATTGACATCCAGATAATATTTATTGTAAAAATTACACATGTAGCTCGCAAGAGATCTATCGGTCTCAAAAGCACACGAACCTCCAAAGCAAATGAAATTGTATTAGGTTTCTTTTTTGGTGAACACGGCTATTGAACACTTAATTTTGGCTGCTCTACAATGTGTTGTTGTTCGTTTGCTGTGTTTGTTCGATATGTGTTACTGTGGACTGTGTGTTGTGTTGCATGATTTGCATGATTTCGTCAGTCTCCAAGAGCGCTCGCTAGCCATTCAAAGTAAGTATCGAGGAGCCGAGAACTACTTCATAAGTGTTGTTTAAACTGCAAATAGTTTTAAAAAAAAGAGTAAATATTGAACTGATTCTTTTAAAAGCCCATGATGCCTCAAGTGCAATGCACCTGGTACATGGGTGACAGTATACTTTCACAAGTATAGCGTGTTACACAAGAAAAGGTGTGTTATCTACGCGAACGCTTAGGTAACAAAAGCACAATTTAAAGCCATGCGCTCATGCCCGTGCTTTTATAAAACTGCACAGGTGAGGTTTTATAGCAAACTGTTTTTTTACTGTTTTTTTAAGTTATTTTATTCTTAAGAAAGATGATTATTTAGTATCAAATGTGTGAATAGGAACGGATCATTAAAAACCGAATTGTCACAAGGTGCTATGTCATGTGACAATCCACTATGTGTCTGCGTCTAGACTATACGCCGCACTATGTGCGCTGTACCGATGGGCTAACCACGAAAGCACCGCACCAATGTCGTTTTTTTTTGGTGTGGTTCGTACTAATAGATTGTGTCTTTTCTTTTTTCGGTTTGGGTAGTTACGCCGTCAACCGCAGGACTGCGGTTCCTTCATTATTATCTTAGATGCTAGCGCTAGCTCCTCCGTCCTTATTGTCTTTAAGACTAGTTTAGTTTAAGATGTAACTTGTTTTGTTTTCTCAATTATTTTTTTCATCTTTCAGAAATCCAGCTTTACAGAGTGTCAGCAGGAACAGCGAGAGGTTTCGCCGGGCGTAGAAACCAACGTCTCCATAGACAAGGCAAAGCTTCAAAACAAGTTCAACAAAGTACGTACACTTTATGCCCGAATTTTCCCATCAATTAATTCGAGCGATGCCCCTCGAAGTGCGCCTGACACACTCGGATGGAATTTACCGTACTGATCGGGCATGGGAAGTTTGGATCGACAGTTAGCGCCGCCTTATGCCGATGTTCCGTAACTCCGAGTCGGTCCGCGGCCGCAATCCCTGGACCCGATCTCGGGCTCGAACGCCCGAGTGCCCTGCCGAACTGTGACGCGAGCGGCGTTCGTGCCCATTCGTCAAGTGGCATCGGTTGCCCGATGTGGCTACCAGCCAAGCTGACTGGCATCTTGAACAAGGCACCCCCCGTTCGCTAGCCTGTGGCTTATTATCACTCCGCAACTAATGGGATTGCCCCATTAGTCAACAAGAACGTCGGAGAAGCCTTAATTCAAGTAATAAAGCCTCGCCCTGCGTCTCTTAAAGGTGTCCTGAGTAGGTTTCTAAGATCGCCTAAATTCGGCGATTACTCACTCTGCTGGCTCCAAGCATCCTAGAAATCCCTAAATCATGACGATATCCGCGGCCGATTTCCCTATTAAAAGAACAATCAGAGATTGCAACACACCGATTTTATCTACGGCGATGAGAGGAGTATGTTCCGAAACCAGGATATGGTTTTTTATAAGGGGAGGTGTGCCGAACAGAACATCGATAGCATGCTACTTGTTCATGACGCCGATGGCACCGGTACCCTGCGCCTGGTGGCATCGGGCGGCGCACAATGGCACCACGCGTAGAAGTGCGTCCTGCATGAGCACGCGTAGTACGAGACGCTCTCGTGCCCCGCGCGCTCGCGCACAACACTTGAGACGCTTCACGCCACGCCCCTTCGAGCAGAAATGCACCGGTATTTATTAAAGTCCCTTGATAACATTCACGCTTTCAGGTGCCGCCAACCATTGTTGTGGAAACGCGCAAAACACGAGCCACGAGTGGGTGCTCCGCCGCCATTCGCTTCCAAGAGCCGCTCATTTCAGTACTGCAGCGCCATTTGCTTCCAAGGGCCGCTCGAGACACGGGCCTCGTGCAATGGCGCATGTGACGCTACTTGCAAGACAAGCGCAAACAAATCGAGGGACTTTACCGGTATTTCAGTAACCTGGCTACAGCTCCACTTTTTCGTTATGAAGCGGTGGCACGTGGAGCTAGCTACTCAAGAATGCGGAGCGCTCGGTACACCTCGCCTTATAGCCACCATAACCAGGACCACTGTCAGTCAATAGCGAGCGAAGGATCCTCGCGCCATCGACCGGTGGAAACGCGGAGTGATATCTCGAATGCGCGCGGCTCGTTGCCCACAGTTACCCACAGTATACGGTGTTCCCACACAGCCCGGACTACGATTGAACACAGCGAGCGCGCGCTCGAGCGCTCGAGAACTGACGACCGAACACATCACGCCCGCAAAACACACACAAAAAATAAATAAAAAATAGTTGGCTGTTTTTGAGACGATTATTGCAGTATTATGTTCCCTCTTCGGCGAAAAATTAGCGCTTTTCGACTATTTTTACCTGCTTCCGTCATTTACAAAAGCATGCACATTTTGTAACAACAGGGTCTGCCTTCTCAACGAAATGTCGCGTTTTCATTGGTCACTATGCCGTCGTGAGTGCCGGAACAATGCTCCTCCCATCGCCGGAGATAATTTCGATCTCTGATTGCTTTTGTAATAGGGAAATCGGCCACGCATTGCTATGATTTATGAATTTCAGGATGCTTAGGACCCGCAGAGTGAGTTATCGCCATATTTAGGCGATCTCAGACACCTCCTCAAAGCACCTTTAAGCTGTCGGTCACCATAGGTACGGTGGCTGCAACGCGCCTCCAACTGGTGGTGCGTTTAGCGTCCTATTCTAGGCGTGTATCGAAAGTTGTCCCGGAGTGACAACAAATGACGTCACCGAAAACCGGAGTGTCACATGCTGTCGGATTTCGCGATCCTGGCGGTTGGTCGGAGAAATGCTGGAGGGAAAGCACGAGCGAACGTGAGTGTCGCTGTGGCGTCACACAACTCCTGGCTGCCGAGGCGCTTCGTCCGTGGACTGACGAGCGGAAGGAAACTGGCAGGAGATGAGGCATCTGCCGCATCCACTAGCGCTGCTGTGACGCCACCAGGATCGCGGCCGGCGACAGCACGTGACGCTTCAATGACGTCACCAGGCGGAAATAGGGGGATCACTTTCTTGGAGGCGGTAAACACACCGGTCGGAGACGCGTTCCAAGCATATATGTGCGGAGCGCAAGTTCTTCTGCTTCTTTTGAAGGGGTTGTGGTGACGTCAGAAGGACGCCGAGCTCTGATTGGTTCTGAATGAAGGATAGTGGGTAAACCTCAAGGCAGATTGCTTCGAGGTCTACTTACTATTCTTCAATCAGAGCCAATCAGAGCTCGGAATCTTTCTGACGTCACCGCAACTCCTGCGTAAGAAGCGGACCCGACTTGCTCTCCTTATAGTTAGGATGCGTCAATGCCCTTCTGTTTAGGGTGATGCCACCCTTTGTAGTACCCGGTGCCGACAGAACGAGCTCACGGGTAAAATACAAAGAAATCGACGAAAACAAAATGTCGCCATAGCACAGTCAGCGCCACAAAGGCGTGCAAGGACACGCTCTTTCACGCGCGTCTGAACAAAAAAGAAACATAAACGTGTGGGACAAAATTGCCAGATGTCTCCACCCTAAGCAAGCGAACATGAAGGCACCCTACTTATAGTCATCCACTTGAAACATCACTGATGTCCATCTCTTAGATGCTGCGAGCCATCGACAACCAACCTTCGACATTATGTCATTCGGTGCAAACAAACAAAAATGTGATTAGCGGAATACTCAGTATAAACGAGTGGACTTAAGAACATATACTTTTTGTATATCGTACTCAATACCTTATCGTTGCAATGGGCACTGACAGCTTAAAGGGGCACTAAACCATCTTTCTGTGGTAGTCTATGGTCAAAACTCTTCCTATAGGCTCTAAGCATCCTAAAAAAATTCATTCATGTGTGACTCATTTTTATATTAAAATTGACATCAAAGATCGATTACCTCGTAACTATCACCGATACCAGATGGCACCATCGAACTGCAGGAGAACCCCTTGTCTTCGTCCGATGGCGCCATCTGGTGTCATTGATAGTTCCAAGGTACCGATATTTGATACCAATTTTAATAGAGAAATCGGTCACGCGTGATTGTAATATTTTGATTTTTAGGATGCTTAGAGCCCATAGATTGAGTTACAACTATAAATAGACTATCGCAGAAAGTGCTTTGGTGCGCCTTTAAGAAATGCGTGGCGCGGCTTATTTTCTCGCTTCCCGCCTCATGATTGACTTTTCGGCGATTTCATCGGCTGATGCTACACTCTCACTGGCTGCGGACCCACAATGAGATTGCATCATCAATCAGCAGATTGCAGATTGCGGGTGCAATCCCCAATCTGCAATCCGCAATCCGCGGGTGCAATCCGCAATCCGTAGATTGCGGGTGAGATCCTCAGATTGCAATCGACGAAAGGTTCCTTATAACTATTCCTCATTTCCGGTAGGAATTTAGGTGACACGATTGAAATCATCCCACTGCTCAACTGCCGTCACTTGCCTGACGCGACTCGATTGTGGGCCTTCGAAACGGCGGCTCGCGCTTGCCACCGCAACCGTGTGGATGGTTCGTTCCGCCGCTGTAGAAACGTTAGCTTGCGTTATATAGTTTGCGTCACCGCTCTTAAGCCGCCGTGGCTATAGCTCCGGTAAGTAGAACGCTCACCTTCGGCACGCTTTTGTGAGATAATAGCGGGTCGTTCCGAATCGAAAACCCGCGTGGCCGCGCGTTATACTCCGCTTCGCCTTGGGATGCACCGGAGCGAACTTAACACGAGCCAATCCAAGCCCATCCAGCGCCGCGGCCAAATCGCGTGACTACGCTTTCAGCGAGTCACTGCGTCCCTGCTGAAGATCACGTGACGCTGGCACGGCATCGTATTGGCTTAGCTGGCCCGTAGTGTCCACCGCGGTCCATCGCAAGGTGGAACGGAGCACAGGCGCTTTAAAAGACGCGAGCCGTCGTCGCGGCACGCCGCTGTTTCTCCACCGCTCGCCTCCAAATCGCTATGTTGTCCTCGCCGGCCGACGGTCCTTTGTTCTGCGGCTTACTCTGACGCATGGAATCCTTCGGGGGGAACGAGAGAATACTAGAGGAGTTAATGCGCTTTCGCGGTCTACAATGCGCTTTCGCGGTCTACTCGCCGAGAACACGAAAAGTTAATCGCTTAGTTAGAAATCGAAGGCGTTGTTTTGGTTCCGACAGACTCGGGTTTTAAGGTAAGGCCTTCAGGAATCCTTGTCCCGAATCACTACGGTGATACCGAATCGATGTATGTCACATTATAAAGGGGCCTGGTTGAAAGAGAAGCAAAAGTGAACCCCGATGTTGACACCTCTTGAGAACTCTGTACAGCCGAAGATTGGTTTTCAAGATAGAGCGGCGGGACAACGACAGAGCGGGTAACGCCGAGCGAGACACCAACTGTGGGCGGGGATACGAAGAGAAACATCGTGACGACCCATGGCCTCCTCTTTGAACCGCAACGTTTAGGGATAATGGCGAACTCTTCATTTCCTTACAAGTTGCCACCGATCACTTTGATATGGATGTTGTTGATTTGATAAAAATAACAGATTTAAGAAGGAAATTTGGCACGCGGCATTCGAACCACGGATATCGCGGTGACTCGTATTAGCAGACTGTCTTTTGTATGGTGTATGAGAAGTGTGACCCCGGCTTTACGGTTTAAGACCGGTTCACAGAGTACTTTTATTTTACGCGAGACTATACGTCTGCTCACCACCTGTCTCCAGGACAGCTGTGCCTCGTATGAACCGTGGCAAGCAATTCAAGGAGTAGCTTGGCAAGAACCATACGAAGCATGGATGTACCGATGCGTCATAATAACGTAACGTAAAAAAAACGTAAGCAAACGCTCCTGTGTGAATGGACCTTTACATGTATGTAAAAAAAAAAAAAAAACTGGCTGCATTTGTTTTGTCGAGCAGTTAGAACTGTGGATTGCTCGGCCAGTTTTCTTGACACCAGATATTCTGGCGTCACTGTTCAAGTTCGTGCAAATTCAGCATCATATGCTCGCCTTTTCAAAGTAAAGAACACGCGCGTGCTGGGTTATGGAAGTTACATGCACGTCTGTGTATTGGTAAACATGAGAACGCTGCAAAAGACGAGAAAGAAAAAAATATATATGACATGGACAACAACCGCATTTCCTCGGCGATTGCCGTGACCGTGGCATGTGCTGCATTGACGTGGATGTACTTTTACTCGAAACAGAAGACCCGAAACACTCGGAGAGATTCAGTGACCAAAGAGAGGCTCCAGGCGAGTGAGTGCCCTTCCTTGCGCATAAAAGTAGTTGTGTGTATGTTTAGATGGCTGGAAGTTCATGGGCCCGGTGGGCGCCTGGTGTATATTTTGTACATCAGGAATTTAGCCGTTGCACTTTCACAGTACACCTCTACCATGGGGTCTTTAACCTACATCGCGCAAAATTGATACACGACCGCACACTAGTACGAGGCTCACCCTGATCGAAACGAAATACCGCATAGAAGACAAGTCCTACGCATGATGTCATCAACCCACCCCAAGCGGTAAACAGGGCCAGGGAACCGTGGGGGTATATATACATCGACAACCGTGACAAAAAGTCCAACGCCCTCCGGTATTTGTGGTACGCGTGATGCCCCTTCGCGGAGTCGTTCGTCTTCGCAGACGTGACCTATTGTCCAAAGGGCACCGTCTCTGTTTTCCCGTGTCGTCCAGCGGGCATGCGTGCAAATCGGTATCTGGCACTAATATGGCGGCGGCACAGAAATGCGTCTGTGACGAAAGTTGGAAGACTGCGTTCTTCGCGTGTTTACTGTTTTTGGGAGTCGAGCTTCCACGGATACAAAATTACACCGCGCGTATTTGTGCTGCGGATGAATGAACCATACCTATAAGTAGAAAATTTGTTACGAAGCCGCCGAAAATAGATTTTGTCTCTCGGTGGTTTAATAATAATAATAATAATAATAATAATAATAATAATAATAATAATAATAATAATATGTTATATTTTCTTTTAAGCACACAGAGAAATGTAGCCCACAAAAGCAATAAGTGCGTGCTCGTGAGAACATACACACCTTAAAGCAATTAGAAAAAAAAACAATACAAAACCCTGTTTTGACCAGCAGTGAACTCTCCGCAACGCCATGAGCAAATTAAAGAGTCTAAGCAAAGTTATTTATGGACAATCGTTATAATAATGTAATGACACTAAAATAACTACAACACAACAGATAGTGCATAGTGCTAACACGAAGAAAACGTCATAACTCCGTGAAGCCAAAACACTTTGTACAATGTAGTTAATGACATTTTCCATAAATTCGAAACTCAGAGCGAAGACAAACGTACATAAACACAAAAAGAAAAGTAAAAGAAATTAGATTTTGTACCCTCGATACCATCCTTTAAAGATATGTTTTTCGCAAGGACAATATCCTAGCTAACTAGGTTGTTTGACGCTCTAAGCTGGTCGTAACCATTATTACATTCGATCATTATGGTTCGTTCACCAGCATATTTTCGATCATTTCTTCTTTTAAAGGCCACGTAAAATGACGGATGACATCGCACCGCGCCAATGATCATTCTAACTTAATAGTGCCGAGAAAAACAAATTGGCTCGTGCCAAATATATACTGCAGAAGGAACGCGCTCAGTAGCAAGGTCCTCCGCAATGGCCGATGATGTGACGTCAGTAAACTCCACGTACGAAGGGGGACCCAAGAGTGGCCCGGATGAATTTCTGGAGGACTGACCAAAAGTGGTCCCGAAGAGGCGACAAATAACGTCACAAAAGCCGGACTGGTCATGCTGTCGGATGTCGCGATCCTGGCGGTTGGTCGGAGGAACGCTGGCGAAACGCACGAGCGAACGCGAATGTCGCTGTCTTCGCGGCGTCCCAACTTCTAGCTGCCGAAACTTCCGTGGACTGTCACACCTGCAGCAGAACAGACGTCTGCCAGCTACACCGCGGCTGCTGGAACACCGCCAGGATCGCGACCGGCGACAGCGTGACACTTGTGTGATGTCACCGGGCGGAACTCGAGGGACCACGTTTGGACCTGGTGAACACGCCAGTAGGAGACGCGTTCCAGGCAGCATAGTTGTACCAGCTTCCGCCGCTAGCTGCGCTTAGCGACACCACTTTACCCCTTCCAAGTCAGTTTGCCGACCGGCGTCGTCTGCTAAAGTTCTAGCGGCATGTTGTGACTTTTTTTCCCGAAGCGCTTCAAAATCATTCCTCGTTTGTTGCAATCTCTGATTTGAAGGAACAGCGTTCGGCCGTGAAATTCTGTTTTCTTTTAGAGAAAACGGCGGCGGAAATTCTTGCAATACATCAGACAACCTACAAAAATTTTCCTATAAATAAAAAAAACGCAGGTTTTTTTAGGTTTTTGTTTTTGTTTTGTTTTTGTTTTAAGGCCGGTGAATTATTGATCGACGACTAACCTCGTTCAGGGCGACCCTCAACATCCTCAGCTGATGAAAACGTCGGGAAGGTTGGGGCATTGTTCACTCCGAGTTTGTTCCTCCTGGTGAAACTGTTAAGTAGGTGTTTTACCTGGAAGTTTTCCGACGCTTGCGTAACGCAGTGAGGCAGAAATGCCCCGATGTGTGCGAAAGGGGGAGTAATGGCTCCAATTACGACAGTGCCCCAGCATACACTGCCGTCTCAGTGCTAGAATGTTTGAACAAAAAGGGCATGACACCGCTCCCACAACCCTAATCACCGGAACTCGCCCCGTGTGACTTTTTTCTGTTCGCCCGTATTAAAAAGTCCTGAAAGGAAAATGTATTCGGGTTGTAAAATGCCCTCCAAAACAGACATTAAAAAAAAGAGGAATGATTTTGAAGCGTTTGGGAAAAAAAATTCACAGTGCCGCTAGAACTTTAGCAGACGACTCCGGTCGGCAAACACCTGGAAAGGGTGCCGGTAAGCGCTGCTAGCGCCGAAAGCTGCAGCTACAGCAAACGGCCCGCCCTCCAGAAATTTATTCCACTTATATTTGGGTCCCCCCAGTATATCACGTGGAGTGCATGCAGCGATTCATGATGATGTGAGTTAGCATAAACTCATTGCGTGATCAGCCTAGTTTTTGTTTTTGCGCTGCTGGGCAAGCACACAGAGTGACCTCTGTTTCCTTGCACCATCAGTCTTGTCACTCTTGCCGTATATCATTGGACGCGACGGGCCAAAGTGACGAATAAATCCGGAGATGAGTAACCATTGCTTCTTCGAATGGCTCTCGAAGTGTCTCCGGGTCGTGCGACGCGTCGGAAAGATGGCCGAATCCGTTTAAGCTCTGGCCAGTCGGGGCTTCGCGTGTGCTCGCGTGACACCGCGATTAGCCGGCGCCTGGCCCGATTCGACCATCGTTTCGACGACGCGTCGTGTTCAGACATTTCGTCGTTTCTTTTGCTACGGCGGTATAACTTTTTTTTATAGCCGCTTGTTTTTCGCTGATTGTTTGTTATATTCTGTGCCATGTGGTGTTTCATTTTTGCTACCTTCCCCCGGCGTTAGTTTTCATATAGTGGCTCTGACAGTATGTCTCAATAAAATCAATTTAAAAACTAGTACGGGCGAACGAAGTAGTAGAAAATACGCCAATTGAAAAATGAAGGTGATTGTGTCGCTGCCTCTTGATTAAAGGCCGACGACCAGACTCGAGATTCTGCAAGGCAGAAGATCCTCCTTTCCATGGGGGAGGAGGAGACAGACAATGGTGGGCAGGGTAGAAGGCTGAAGGAGAAAGCGACAGAAAAGTGGGAAGCGCGAACTGAACGTCGGCCTTTAAGACCACCTGGCAAGACAGGGAGGGACAAGGGGGCAATGGGGAAGGGAATGAGATGTAAGGGTGAGGCTTGAGGAGGGAACAAAACTGAACCGCGATGGCAGTATTTGTCTCCTGTGAATGTCCATGAGGCTTGGGCGGGTGCATTCTCTGTACAAGTTTGAAGGCCTTGCTTCTTAATTTAATTCAGGGTGAAGGAACAAACTATTCACGGACCGGTAGCGCCATCTAGTGGGGAATGGAGGAATTGTTGAGCCCATGGTTGCCCCTCGCACCCTTTCTCTGTCTCCTTATTTCTTTGTCATGCTTTCTTTCCGTCAGTTGTATCTGCCAATTCAAACGATGACGTGTTTATTACTTGTGCCTTTTTTTTCCCGACCTCACTACTATTCTTCTTATGACTTTTTTATCCTGCTTTGCGCTCCGGACTGAGCGCACACTCGACAATTTCGTGGATTGTTAATGGCAAGTTTTGCCAGCGTGGAGAAAAACGCTACAAGAGAATTCATGTCTAGCGTGTCGGCAATCACGCATTGAGGAAGATAGCGAAACCTTACACAATGCGTCACCTTCTTCAACCTGTGATCACCGCGTTTATACGCGTGACCCTTTTCTGTTGTGCTGTTGTTTTATTTTATTTTTTTTACATGCATTGCGCGAGATAAACACCATACATTTACTGCATTGTTCTTGAGACGCGTGAGATGGTCAGCTTCTGCTTCATGGCTGGACGTCGAAACGAATCATCCGACGCCTCGCTACATTCACCAGAGTTCCTTAGTGAAGCCTGCCGGCTTCTAGCCGGGGCTTATCCAGGATTGTAAATTTAAGAAGCTTGTCGTCATACGGCTTTATTATTTTTTTTTTTTTAGTTTATCAAAGCAGGCTATGCTACCTTCTTCGTGTTTTGTTACGTCTGCGTGTCTATTTTGATCTCGTTGTCTGCTGGTTCAATTGATTCGCATCTCGTCTTTCAACTGACTCACGCTCGACGCAGCTGCGTGCTGACCGCGCGTCCCATGTTCTGCGCAGATCAAGATCGACGAGAGCAAGTGTTTCTGCAAGAAGTGCGGAACCCATGTCTACCCCGTGGAGCGGATCATCGCCGAGAAGCACTTCTACCACAAGAACTGCTTCCGCTGCAAGGAGTGCAACAAGCTACTCTCGTGAGAAACTTTTGGCAACATTTACACTCTAAAAGCTGGTTTACACATTTGCGCTTGACAGTGATCGACTCTGCTTCGACCACTTGGCACGGCTTCTGACAAGAGAGCACACTGGCACACTGGCGCCATTGATCCGCGTATAGCTATGGACTGAATGCCTGAATGTTTAGCTGTGTTTGCTTGCGAGATCAATTATGCGCAGTATCCATGGGAAATTGTTTCTTATATGATTGTCAGAATTATTTCACGCTCACGATGAAAGAATGGCGCGTAAAATGTACGCGGATCCGAAGTTTTCTAGCACTATCCGATAGATGGCGCCAGTGTGTCATCACGTCATAAGCCGTAACAAGCAGTCGTAACGCAGAGGATCATAGTCAAACGGAAATGTGTAAATGAGCCTTAAGCCTAACAGCAGACATCACGCAGTAGACGTCCCCAGGACATCATAACATCCGATAGACGTCCCGTCATTACATCCTCTAAGACGTCTGGGAAGCAAATGAATGCACGTTTGTTTGTGGGTGGCATCAATACTCGATTCCCCGTAAAATGAGCCAGTAAAACATTTCATTAGAAGCGCCGAGCCTGATTGCCTTGCCATATTTAGTCGGCTATATCAGAGCATTCGAAATTTCAAAAGCTACGTTGACATTATTTTTTATTGAGACAGCATTGCGCGTAAAGCAAATTTCCTGAAGCAAAAGTGACCACTAGGATACACTTACGGTACAAAATTCAGCTTTCTACGGATACATGTCGAGTTTTACAACCCTTTTTACAGAGCATCCCAATGTCTCTGCCACACTGTATAGATCATTCCAGTAAGAGCTCTCAGGGCGGCGCCATTTTGTTCGACCGCAGGGCACGCGCCCGATTCCGCTAGCAGACGACAAACCCGGAGGGAATCTGTTCTCCATCTTTGGGCTGTACCGGCGGGCTGTGCGGGACATTGAACTCTCGCTCGCGTCTGCCGTTGTGAAGTGGTTCGTCTCTCTAGAATATTTATGGCTACTCCAAAATCAGCCTATAGCGCTCCGTTGTTTTATGTCAGTAGCTGATCAGCTAGCCTATCTTTGTTCCGTTACTTCTATAGCAGTTCGTCTTTATTTAATTAGTATACCAGACTCTCCATTCATTTTCGCTAAAGGCCTACACCAGTATGACCTTTATATAGTAAAACATCTACTTCAACCGGATTTACTTTTCTCCGGAGGGGACAAACCAACCAGTCTAACATAATTTTCACTTTTTTTTTTTTTTTTTTTTGCGGGGCAGGTAAAGTTGTAGTTAGACCCGGTTGGTCTTTTTATCGGACATAGCATTACACGATAACTTGCACATCAAAATCCTCGCATTTCCGCTTGAAATTTACAAAATCACGTGAATTTGAACCGAGTTTCCACGCCAGCAGGATGTTAGGTACACCCCTGGACGTGCGAGGTGAGAGTGGTGGGGGGGGGGGGGGGGGGGGGGGGGGGCGCATTTTTCTCTCTCCGCCCTTCCTACTGGAATGGTCTATACATACCCAATGAACAGAGAGGAGAGCCAATCGTTGAAATTGGCGGGACAAGCTAGGAGAACGACGAGATCACTGCAATTTGTGATGAACTCATGCCCTACCTCAACGTCAGATCGCCTACGTTCTTTTTTTTTTCAAATTAATAATATATATGTATATTATGCAGGGAACGCTTGCGAAGTGTGAAACATATTGGTGAGAAACACGGTTCTGTAGCACACAATAAAACTGCTCTTAGCTTGCGATTAGAATAAATACATTATCGGTGAGATATTATGTTTCACTGCGTGTCGCGACCATAACCACTTATGCTGTCGGAGTGTGAATAGCACATACAAAACTCTGAGAGACGCTGCTATTAAACACCTGGTGGGTTTGTACTACCTGCTAAACCTCATATTTATTTTTATCTTGTTTCCTGTTTTTCTTTCTTTTTCTTTTCTTTTGCAGTGTCGACGGGTACATGTCCCACGAAGCCGAGATCTACTGCAAGATCCACTTCAAGCAGCTATTTCAGCCAAAGGCGCGCTTCGATAACGACGCCGGGCCTCGTGAGTAGATCATCCAAACCCTCAGACATATTTGCCCTTGCCATGGTGCATTGCGATGTTGCTGTGTCTATCGAATGCACGTCGCCCTAGCACTGCTTTTAACCCCCCTCCCCTTTTTTTTTTTCTTCTTCTTCATATTAGTTTTTTACCTTTAATTCTTTTTGCTCCGCTGCGTTGTTTATGTGCAAGGTCTTCGAGGTGGAAAACCGGTCCTTTTATGACTCCAACCTTTTATTAATATTATTTTTTTTTTTCAGTCATTTGTGTCTTGCACGCGAAAAAGCCGTTTCTCGGATGCCGCCCATAGAACGGGAAAAACATAAAACAACCAAGAACGTTTACACACGGTTTCATCCCAACATGGACGGCAGGCAGCAGACGCCACACGCGCCATCACAGCCAATCCAGCGTTGAGAAACCCGCGCATGACCTTCCGGTTGCACGCAGCAAAATCGCAGTGCGCAAAGTCACGTGGGACGTTCACAGCGCCGCCATTGGTTGGGGGGTGACTCGTAGCGTCCGCTTTGGTCCAACTCTGTCCGCGGCGTTAGGTCGGGGATCGGCGTGGATAGAGCTGTGTGAAGGTCCTCCTGCGAGAGATGGGGTCAAAGATCGCGCCCTGACAACAATTGCATGGGGCCGGCACGAGGGACAGACTTGCGCGGCAGTCACTACAAGTAATCAAATTACTTGTAATCGATTACATTTTGGAGTAATTTAGTAATAATTTGATTACGTTTTTTAGGAAGTAATCGCAAGAGGAATCTAAACCGTTTTGGAAGTGCCAAAAATTATACTGGTAACCGTTTTTTTTTTTCCTCTTTCTAGTGGCGCTTTTTGTAAAAGCTTCCTAACCAGTGAATACTCAGAGTAGTTCGTAATTCGATAATTCTAATCTAATAATGAACGGCGCGAAAAACCCACTGTTTTCATACCGGCAAAAGAATCCGTCGTTTTGGAAACCTGAAGTAGTCGGAAAAGTGGCGGTTATGTTTTATCAAGTAACGACCAATTATTTTTCTTCTCAAGTAATTAAGTAACCTAATTGAATAGCTTTTTAACCGAGAGTAATTGAAAGTTATTACTTTTTTGTCTCTCGAATAACGTGTACTAGACTGCACGAGGCACAGATTCGTCACGAGTGCTTCGTCGGGATTCGGTTTGAACTCGTGTTCAGTCAGTGAGGACACGAGTTGTAATCGAAGGCTGATCCAGCACTCGTGCCTAATCCGAGCCCCGCGTGCCCTACCGTCGGTTACGTAGAAAAACCAGTGCCATAGCTTTGTTACCTAGGAGATGTTGGCTCCGATCGCGACTCTTTAGCCCGCTTACGTTACGTATTACGTAAGGGCGCTTTGAAGTTGGCTTTAGTGACGATTTGGCCGGTTTTCATTATTCTCAAAATCTCAGGTGTCTTTCTGGTAAATTTTAAACGTGGTGCGAGCCCCAACCTGAAATGGTTTGTTTCAAACACAGTTTATTTCATTATTATTTTATTCTTTAAAGCTAGGGTCACTCTATATCTTCCGATCTGCGGCCAACCGCACCTAGATTAATCTAAGCCTGTTGACTGCCTCATATTCTTTGAAAAACGCAGTCCGGTGAAGCACCGATTTCACCCACGTCTCCCAGCGAAATGTTGCCGCAGCTCTCGTGTTAGGTCTGTTCTCGTGCTCGGTCGATAGTCTGAATGGCATCGAAATTCAAAAGCCCAGAAAAAACTTGACAGTACTCCGCTTCGCCTTAGGATGCACCGCAGTGGACGGGCACCACTAGCCATCCCAGCGCTATGAACATATCACGTGATATGGCACGTGACTACATGCCTTGCGCGTCGCTGCACACTGCTTGAAGCTTACGTGGTACTTACACACACAGCATCGGATTGACTTCGATGGTTCTTAGTGTCGTCTGTGATTTAGTGTTAGGTGAAATGAAGCATACTGTAAGTGGTGTTGATTCGGCACATCAAGACGACCATGTCCGCAATTCGGAATGGCGAGAAACTCCTTGCTCTAAAGTGCGTTGTCGAAAGTAGGAACGATAATTACGAGGGTGCCACGAATCGAGGTGCTTGGGTAAATATGAACCGGAAAAATCGATACCTAAACGTATCAGGCTAAAATTTCGTCAAATATGTATTTTAGTGGTGGATTTGACTCAAGGAAATTTAAAAGCGTAGCTTGGTTTCAGAAGAAAAAAAATTTTAACGTTTTTGGCATTTTCAGCAGCGGCGTCCGAGAGTCGTGCGTGTGGCGTCATCTCCTGACACGCGCGGCAAGCATTTGGTCGAAAGCGAATGACGCCGTCGTATGCTTGCTGTGCTCATCGGGAGATGGCGCCACAAGCGCGACCCTTGGACGGCTTGGTCGTCTGCGTGAAAGCGCGCTGTTGAGAATGTCAAGGATATTGCGGTAATTTTTTGCAGGAATGGGTTTGCGCGCCTTCAAGTTTTACAAGGTGGAATCCACCAGCTTAAACAGAACTTACGTGAAAGTTTGAGTTCGTTATGTGTAGGTACCCATTTTTCCGGCTCATTTTGCAGGGAACACCCCGATTTTAAACACCCTATGTATACGGGCACTAGTGAGGCTACTTTAGATATCCTCTAGAAAACACCGAAATTTGACCGTCGAAGTATCATCCAAACAGTAATTTTGGTCGACTTTGCGATACCACAATCATTGAACCAGCTGTTGGGGTTTGCGTGACTGCGTGAAGTTTTCTTGAACGCTTGCATTTGTTAAGGGTGGCTTAATGTACTACCACTCTTCGACCCGCTGGGGATGAAAGTACTGTCAACCAAGCCCTGCCTTTTTTTGTTTGGGAAAAAAAGCTTAGACTCTCATTATACAAAATCGCTCTCCTATATGTGGTTTACAGACACGTATACTTTTTGGTACTTCTATCTACCGTTTATTAGTCCCGATGCTGTGGCACCAGTTAGTGTAAAGTAATTTCAAATGCCAATAGAAAATATTCAGGCACATTGAGCATAACCAGTTGGCGGATTTTATAGAGCGCGAAACAAAACGTACTAAGATTTGGAGTGGAACGAATATTTTGAGAACAGCGATCGATTTTGCTAACCCTTTCAATCCTCCTCCTTTAGAGATAATTTTTTGCACAGCTCGGAATAAGTGCTAGAATCACTATTCTTTATGTGTTTGTCGTAGAACGTTTGGGTCATAATTCAAACGCCTACAGCGGCACTCTGTTACCGTAACGGCATGTTCGCCGCTTGCTATTAGGGACGTACATAGTAGTACGTTTTTCTCTTTCTCCAACATGTTTGTGTATTATTTTTTATTTATTTTTAGATTCCTAGTGGTTGCAGTTTTTGCTTGGATGCAGCGATATTCGGCGCATGAGATGCCGCTCGTGCTATCTGCCATAACTGAGTCTTGAAGTGTGGTGTGAATTCTCTCGCATTCGTTTAAAACGCAACCAAGCTTTGCACGGTTTTGATGCCCGTGAGTTGACTGTACCGCTGCTGCCGCTTTTCCCCCCCTAACTGCTTTTCTTTGTTCCGCAAGATGCCACTGTCCCAGACATGGACGACTTTCACGAAGGTATGAACCTGGAATGTTAATTCTACACGATACCGCGAATGTTTCTTTGTTTCTTGATGCTCACACGTGTACAATTAACTATAGCCGCTGATAGAATGAAAATGGCGGAGAGGAGTTTCGAATGTTCCGCGTCCAGCGCGAGCTTCCTACCTTCGATCATGCTTCGGTATCTCGTGAGCCTCGTGCGTTCACAAACAGCCAAAGCACGACGGAGGGCAACCAAGGCGTGGTGGAGGAAATGCATCTGAAAGAGACGCCCCGCCGTTCTCATCTTGTCATGTGACTATATAATGCAAATTCCCGGTATACGGTGCTCGCGTAAAAATGCATCGTGAGTTTGCGCTGCGAGTGCTGTCTAAAAGCCTGTTCACACTCTGGCGACTGAGTAAGACCGAGAGAGACCAGACCGGTTTTTAAGCCTCTTGCGATGTCTTAGAACCAGCTCCGCTGCAACGCATCCGGTCCTAAGATGTCACAAGAGGCTTCAAAACCGGTATGGTCTCTCTCGGTCTTACTCGGTTGCAAGAGTGTGAACGAGCCTTAACCTAAAGGATACTAACACGAAAACTATATGGCATGTTTGTATGTGTGCGATCTAGCTGGAGGCCCCCCCTTGAAAAAATATGCTTAAAGTGCAGGCGAGCCGGTGCATATTGAACATGATGGTAAACACTGAGGTTGCGCTATGAAAGCGTTAAAATAGCATTGGAGAAAGAAAAAAGAAAGAGACGGACAACTGAACCGAGTTTTGAAACGCTGTCGGTGGTTTTTGTCTTCTTTTTTTTTCTGCCTCTATTATTATTTTAACTTATTTTTGCCCCCAGTCTCCTGGTTTGCCATCACGTTCAGTGTTCCCCTGCACAGTTAAAAAAAAAAAGAAAGGTACTTTAAATTACGGCGTGAAGCGCCGCTAAGAAATGATGACGTAAATCTTCCGTAGCCATATATGTGGAACGCGTCTCCGACCGGCTTGTTTAGCGTCCTATCCCGCCCATGCATCGAAAGTGGTCCTAGTGTGGCAACAAATGACGTCACAAAAAACCGAAGTCTCACACGCTGTCGGATGTCGCGATCCTGGTGATTGGCCGTAGAAGTTCTGGCAAAAAGTACCCGAGCGGATAAGTGTCGCTGTCGCGTCACGGCGTCCCAACTCCCGGCCGCCACAAGCTTCCGTGTACTGTCAAACTGGAGAGCGGCCTGCTGCGAAACAGGTCTTCTGCCACAACCACCACCACCACTGCTGTAACGCCGCCAGGATCGCGACCGGCGACAGCGTGAAACTTCTATGACGTCATCAGGCGGAAATCGAGGGACCACTTTTTTGAACGCGGTAAACACGTTAGTAAGAGATGCGTTCCAGGCACCATATAGTAACGCCATCAAAGCTGTAGTTGATAGAACACGTTACCATAACCGTACAGCAAGCATGCTGTTATAAAATTGCAGCATGATGCAAGTGTAGGCTGATGCCAACGATGGGTCGAGTCATAGCCTCCTCCATACTCTCACAAAGCCTGGCAGTTGGACGACGGAGCCATAAAGTGCCCAGTCGCAGATTTGGAGCGCGAGGACCGTGTAGCACAGGGCATCAGAGAGCCATTCCTTGAGGAGCCTGGACGATAGCGCACAGCTTTTGCAGCGGCGAGGACCCGAAACACACTTGTTCGCTCGGGAGAAGTGTGTTCAGGCATCTCGGCGCAGCGGGGCGCCAGTCACGTGGCTCTCCTCTCATCCGTTGTCTGCCGCTCCACCTTCTCCATTTCGGCGGCCGCTTCTCGTGGCGATTAGCCAGGCTTTTTCGGCATATAGGAGGCTATGGTCAAGTATGCGACTCTGGTTCTGTGTGTGCTCCTAGTTGTTTTACTTCTTTTTTAGCACTATGAAAATGGTCTTTGTAGAATCAATTACATACAGCTTGTTTGCGTTTTCTGGTTGACCTTCGTGCCTTCATCCGCCGAAACGGTGCGACCAGAAGTACTTTGTGTTTTGTGTAATCTGTGCATTAGCAGGCACTTGGTTAATGGTGTAGCACGTGAATGGCGGCTGTGATCGGTACCAGCAGAACCGCGTAGCGGATGTTCCCATATACTCAAAACGCGAAGCGAGAGTGTTATTAGAGAGTTTTAGTGGATCGTTCCGATGACTCCAATAGCGATACCCGATACTCCGCCGCCGCCTTTTGTACGTCGTGCATTGTATCGTTATCGGGGCTATCGGAAGTATCAGAACAGTCGGTTAAAACTCTCTATTTCTTCTCGCCTTTTACTTTAGCGTATGTCCGCGACATGTGACGCCTGCAGTGCGGTGCTGCCACAATTTCGCCAGCGTGTTGCAACTAAAGAAGTCAGTGAAAGTGCGAGGTCACAAGGACAGGCTGGGCTCAGTTTAATTGAGAAAGGGACGAAAAAACAGCCGCGAATGAAGCTTGTATTTTGTTTCAGAGTTTTTTTAAGATCCTCCGTAAGTGTATTGCAAACAACTTGAGTTTCGAACTTTTCTCGTTATGAATGCGAACTGTGTTTACGCCTTTTGAAGAAAGGAGACAGCAATAGGTTAAAGATGAGTTTATCCACGTGTTCTCCTAGCGACAGCCCTCACTAAAAGTTGGACAAGGACGGCCGCTCAGAATTTCTTCAAAAATTGGGCTTTCCAAACACGGGCTGCCTAACTTGTCACTGACGAAACCTATTATATCTGATAAGTCATCTTCGAAAAATCTCTAATCCGAGGAAAACAGAAAAAAAGGGACACCACACACACAAAGTCGCAGACACAGCTACGTTTCATTTGCCAGCCACACGTTGAATAGCCTTCCCTCCCCGCCGCCTGTGTACACCGCTTCCTTCAGACAGACGCCCTACGATCAATCCCCACACACTCTTCAATCATTTTTTTTTTAGGGCGCAGCTTTTAGGTTTTTGTTTTTTTGTCTTGCGGCGTCGGGGCGTCGGTGTAACCGCGATAAATTTAGCGGGACAATTGACGTCCCGTGACCTCAACACCAATTCAATTCCCCGCGAAATTTAGCGGGGAAAATCAGTTTCTCCTCTAGATTTAGCAGGACAAATTCAGTTTCTCCGCTAGATTTAGCGGGAGAATTGACGACACGTGACCTCAGCACCAGTCAAATTTCCCACTACGTGACCTCAACACAATTTTCCCGCTAAATCTAGCGGAGAAAGTGAAGTTGTTCATAGGTGACGTGACACCAAGTCATGTGACGTCCTTTCCCCCGCAAAATTTAACGGGGAAACTGAATTGGAGGAGGAGGGGTGAAGAGGGGATGGAGGAGGAGGGTAGGAGGAGGAGGAGGGGCATACCCTCCCCTCCTCCTTTTCAAGAGCTGCGCTCTAATTTCGCATTACAGAAATTCGTAAACGTCTTTCATATTTTTTTAATTTTTCTAAGGGCCACTGTACCACCTACCGTTGAAATTCTAAGAATGTCTAATAAACCAAACAAAAATGTCAATTTATTTATGACGTTACGCAACTTCGCAAAAAAATTCGAAGTAACGTCAAAATTCTCGAACCTGAAAAAAAAAAGAAAGTTTATGATACCTAAGCCTGCATTTTATAAATAATAATAATAATAATCTTCATTTCTATCTGTCCACAAGCAGCTGGGGGCGTTTCGTGTGGTACACAGCAAATGACGTCGAAAAAGGCGAGGTTAAAAGGACAGAAGATGGCACTGAAGGCAAAAACAAGCACAGTCATTCCAAAAGAGTACATACGTCAAACTCTAATCACGAAAATAATATACTCTGAAAGTCTCGCCGAAAAGTTGACATGTTCCTAGATATATCAAGTGCGAAAGCGGTTAGACCTTGAAGGGGGCGTGCAAACGAACCGTACACCCAACAGAACGGGTGTGTCTACAGCCTCAAAGACAACTTCGTGTAAAAACATAAAATTACGAAAACGCCGTCTAGCAGAGAATTTAAGCCAAGTTTTTTTCCACCATCCCTTCGATACTAAAGTAAACATTTTGTCCAAAATATCGATCAAGAACGATGCGGATGAGGCGTTTTCGTACACGCTCCACAGAGCAAGAAGCCCGCGCTGCCTATACAATTCCAGACTACAGATGCGAACTCTAGTTTCGAGCGTACGAGGCAACAAAATTAATAATGCCTTCCATATAATCTTCTATATAATACACACACACACACACACACACACACACACACACACGCACACGCACACGCACACGCACGCACGCACGCACACGCGCGCACACACACACACACACACACACACACACACACACACACGCACGCACGCACGCACGCACGCACGCACGCACGCACGCACGCACGCACGCACACACACACACACACACACACGCACGCACGCACGCAGACGCACGCACGCACGCACGCACGCACGCACGCACACGCGCACACGCGCACACACACACACACACGCAGACGCACGCACGCACGCACGCACGCACACGCGCACACGCGCACACGCGCACACGCGCACACACACACACACACACACACACACACATGGCGATACCGTACTCATTAGACCCACTTTAAGTGATGCGGGGGTATACTGGCGCCATCTCTGCGTGTCGTCGTGCACTAGTTCGTTGATATATTACCGCGAAAGCGGGTTCACGCTCGGAACTTCACATTTCGACCGAGAAAATTCGTCAAGCGGTAATTGCGTGAAACCGAGTCTCCATAACGCCTTTTCATGTGAGTTCTAATTGCTTCCTTCAACCTGCTAACTTTTAGAACCTAAAGTTGTTGTTGTTGTTGTTTTAACAATAGAAAGCTGGAATTAATAAATTATAACGGATTTGAAGCGTGAAGCCCGAAAGCTGCCCGATTCCCGTGAGCTCATCTAGCTCATAACGAGCAAGCTATCATGCGATCATAATAAAAAAAAAAAAAAAAAACAGCACGTTTTTTTTTGTTTTTTTTGCACCACATTAATCATGGGTTACATTCAAGGAAAAAAATAACACGTTTGGCCTTGTTTTTTCTTTTGTTCTTTTCTCTAAGGATTAAGGATGTTCAAAGAAAGTTTTAGAAAAATTTCGATTTACCGATAAGCTATGAGCCGCTGGTAACATGCAACTGAATGTAACCAGAACTCCAGGCTTGCAATTAAAGTCGAGCAATGAAAACAGCCCAACAGATCAGAAAGATATCCCCCCAAACGTTTGAATGAAAATGCCTATGAGGAATACACTTTAATAAGAAACAAGCTAGTCCGGGATTATATTCCTATTTGACAACAAACAAACAACACTGAACGCTGGAAACAGTTGAGGGTAATGAAACGCTCTAGCAGTTTACTGTGTGTTCTGCAGTGTCAAATATTCTTTTATGAAATATACTTGTCATCACTAATCTCTCACTTCCCCTTTTCATGGTGCTGTCCCTTCACATACACTTTATTTCTAAAGTATGTACAAAATAATATCACACGCGGCTGTTTATGGAGGGTCAGGTGGACAATCAATCTTCTTGATTCTACAAGAGGACAGCTGGTGAACAACAAAGCCCAAAGAAATATTTTATACAAAGTAATGATCCCTAATAAGACACTGTACATGATGTTTAGTGTGCTGAGTTTCCCAGCGTAAAAATCTGGTTTTAGCTGTTTTTTTATATATATATATATATATATAAAATGTTTATGCTTTCTAGAATGCGATTAGATCTTTACGTTTTGGTGTGAGTAAATGTAAACTCCCTTATATTTATTTATTTTTTTGTATCAGAAGTATCAGATATATTTTCGAACATAGCCTTCTGTGTAGTTTTTACTGAAAACCGGTGAATGTCCTAATGAGGAAGTCGCGTGTACCTTTGCAGGACGACAGAAGCGTCACGAGATGATCATCAGGGAAAATGTACCAGAGGAATTGCCCCCGGATGTTGTCAGATGTGAGTACATATTCTTATTGAGACCTGCAGTTGGCTACTTGAAGTACCAAGTAAGAACCTTGTCCGCTGTCACCGCTCCAAGTGGCTTAGAGTGTGTAAGTTTTAGACTACACTAGCTACTTGATTCTTTGTTGGGCTATAACAGGGGTGGCCAGGCTGGCCTGGCCTGAGAGCCGCAAACAAAACCACGAAACTTCTAAGAGCCGCGGGGGGAGGGGGGGGGGGGGCAAACTTAACTTTTGTTCAGAGTCTGACTGTACGTATGGGGGCACAAGGCTCTTCGAGTCTACGTATGGGAGCACAAGGCTGTCAAACTGCAAGCTGCAGTGTGCTTTATTCTGAAATCCTTTCTTTGTTTTTTCCCCTGGGGAAACGCGGAAAGGGGCGGAGGGGGGGGGGGGGGGGGTGTCTCCTTACGAGGGATCCGCGAGCCGCACTTCGAGCAGCAAAGAGCCGCATGCGGCTCGCGAGCCGCGGTTTGGCCACCCCTGGGCTATAAGAACCGCAGTTGTCTCTTGGTATAGCCGCAAGAATAGGAAAGAAAGCGCGGTGCGAACCACCCGTGCAACACATGGTTTGCTACCTGTGTTGGGCCCAAATTTCTCTAAAGAGTCCCATCAGACGCTAAAGGAATATCCTATACTGCACTGGTTCTCAAACGAGGGTCTGGGGACCGGTTAGGGTTCCTGAAGGTCTTGAGGTTCCCGTAGCCTTAGAGGGTCAGTCAAGCCGAATACAAAAACATTTTTTTTTAATTGATGCTGGCTGTTCCACAAAGCTAAGTAGATCAAACCCCGTATAATGACTGAGTAGGGTGGTAGTATTTTCCTACGCCCTCGTGCGTGGTATTCGGATGTTGTCAAGTTTTCTGTCTTCTTTTTGTCCCATTACGTCTGTACTAAACGTTTGGTTAGTATAAAGCTGCTCCAATTGCAATCATGCTTCGGTGTCCTTCTGCACCATAATTGCAGTCCAGAGCTCCGCTTAGGTGTGATTGCGTCCGTAGCATCCACATGTGGACGGCGTCTTAATAGTATCTCTTTGTAAACTTTGAGGTCGAAGGTTTGTCTGAGCTTTCCACCAACGATCTCATCTCAGTCCAAGGAAAGCGCTCGCTAAAAGGCGCTCCTCTGCCCTGCACACCATTAACCAATCGAGACAATCCACAGGGAACGTCCTGCGAATTACAAAAAACAACAAAAAGGTTTTGTTTGAAAACACGCAATCTGCGCAGAGACAATGCGCGCACCAAACATCAAGCTCGTCGTCTCATCGATCTTGACGTTTTCGATTCCCTCTACCCGTTTTAAGATCGTAGGGACTGCCCCTTTGCCTGTTCTTCGGTAAAATAAACGAACACGCTCTTTCTTTTCTTCTTTTTTTTTTATACGTACGTTGCGCACTTCATATTTAATAGTTGTGTGCACTGTGCATTGCGTCAGGTGAATGTTTGCAAAGCTACCACCAATCACCAATCCCACCATCGCTGAGCGAATCATGAACAGGGAAGGCCTAGTAACCTACACTTCTGACGCTGTTTTATTGGTCCATCGATCAGCTCATACGGTCGGCTGCATTCGGACGTTTGATGGAATTAAGTTTTGTAGTTGGGTGGCATCAGATTTCAAGATGTCTGGCATCAAACGAACAATATGTAAACGTGAAGTGATACCGAAGGTGCAAGCTAGGTGTTGACTGTTTATCTAAGCCTTCAGGCAAACGAACGGACGGAAGGTGGTAAACACGTTGGGTGTTTCCCAGACTCGAGAGATTTCCGAAGCGTGAACGTCCAGGCTTTGTTTTCGTCCAGCCTGACTACACGGCTTGGATGGTTTATCGACATCACGCACAGGCTTGCTCAGCACGCAAGGTTTGCAAATCGGAGTCTCGTGCAGGCGGCAGACGCGTGGGATCCAGGAAAAATGAATACAATTTGACGCTTATTTCTTCTAAGAAAGCATACCTAAGTTGCATTCAAAATAGAGATGTTCGAATAGTGCTTCTAATCGAATATAGTGCTGCGTCATTCGTAGCCTTCACAGTGCAAGGGTAAGCCACGAAATACCGGCTCTTTTTACAGTCTTGGTCAACGACAGCTTAACTACGGTCAACGACAGCTTAGATTACGGTCAACGACAGCTTAGGTTACGCTCAACGACAGCTTACGAAACGAAGGGTGCGGCTTTTGATGTTATAATGCCCCTTGATTCTTGATTCGTTGTTCGCCCATCCTATCGCCAAATGCCGGAATCTTACTGGCTACGAAGACCACCACGTCCTGTCTTTCTTAAGTTTTGAGTGACTATAACGATTATATTATTAAAATTAACAAATCTAAGCCTGCGGTGCTTTAATTTCCGCTTTTGGCCATTTTTGTTCCGTTCTTGAGATAAAGGAAAAGCGCTAATCGGTACAAGTGAGATGCCAAAAGAAAGAAGAAAAAAAAAAAGAAAAGAAAACAAGCATGTGTGCTGCAAGCCCGTTGATGTGCCACAAGCCCAGTCAGGCGTGAGATTGGCCAGGCTGTAGAGATCCGACTGCGGTGTGTTTCCGTGCCTCTTGCGCGCCTGTTTTGAAGGCTATACTCCGCCGCCGGACAGAATAATTTGAAACCTTGGAACGTCGACGCTTCGTAAGGTAGTTGCGTTATTGAGCGTTTGCTTTTCCTCGTAAAATTTGCTGGAGCCGGAAACTGAGAAAGAAGGAAACCTAAGCCGAAGCACCCGTTGAATGATGTACTGTTGCATATTTTAGGGAGTTGTTTGGTGTATTTACTTGGTCATTTCAGTTTTACGTCTACTCGGGGAACTCGAACCTAATCAGGATTCGATTTTAGTCTTGAACTTGTCGTGTTCTTTTTCTTACAAGCTGCTCATGAGGATGACTCAGAAGGTAAGGTGTTCTTCGTCCTGTTTCAGCGGTGTGAGTTTTACGTTGTACTACACGAAATTTGACTGCACCCGTGCGCGACGAAAAAAAAATTTTTTTTCGCTCTGGTATTGTTTTAGCGTTAGGAGTAGCTGACACAACCCGGCGAACTTTGGGGTCCCTATCTTCTGCGTTCCACCGTTCCACTCACCGTTTCAACAATGTCGTTCCTATTCAGGGAAACAGGGAGAGCTCCGCGGTAAGTACAGTGTTACAGTGTTGGTGATAAAGCAGATGATAAACGTGCGCTATCACTCTACAACTAGAAAAAACTCCAGAACTACAGCTATAGGCGAAACAACTGTTCACAGCTTAAAGTTTTACGACGGAGTTCAAAATTAATGGCGGACGTGGGGCTTGTTAAAAAAATAATGGCATTCGTTAACGATGATGAGGTATCGATCGAAAGCTTAGTACTTGAATGCAGACGAGAATACTCGTAGCCCCGTGTGACGGCCCAAAATACTTGTCTCATTAAAATGTGAGGACGAAGCGCTTCCGAACGTTTCCTCTATATCACGGCTAGTTTTAACCAAGCAGTATAATATTGAAATTATATTTAAAAAAAAGGAAGCTGTAGAAATTATTAATAATTGAGGAACCTTATACTGAGCAACCCTAGCAAAGGGATGTCAGAAGACACACGACGAGCAGCGAAGCTTTCTCAAGTCATTTGCGAACAGTAATTTCTCGCCTTTAGCATTTATAGTCGCACAGTTCTATACCGACCGGGCAATGCAGCTTGATACGACAGAAATCGCAGTCTTATGCAGAATTTTCGAACAATTTTTGGTCCGCGGCCGCAATCATGGTGGAACTCGAGCTCGAAGGTCTGAGTTCCCTGCCGAACCGTAGTGCAACGGTCATATCCAGTCGTTCGGCGGCATGGTCTGCCCAAAGTTGCCTTTTTTGTCTACCAGTTGCGCTATTGTACTTCGTTTCGCCATAACTTGTCAAAGAGCGAACGCTCTTTGACAGAGCGACAGAAGCGAGGCGCGTCACAGCCCTTACCAAAGGCACAGGGGCGAGAACGTAACCCAGCAATAAAAACAGAAGAGGAAGAGGAGGATCTACCCTTTCACCGGGACCCTCTATTGCGTGTCCCAGACGACGCTTTTGTCTCCCGAAAGGAGTAGCCGTACGTTGCTTTTGTCTCCGAGAAGATTCGTACAAAAACGGCTCTGTTTTCTCACAACTGGTTTCGATTCCGCGCAGCTAGTGAGATAGAGCACAGTCACGTGTTTCCCTCCGACGCGCTGATTGGCTCTCTGGGACCATATCCTTCGCCATTTGCCAAGTAAGCGGCGAGACGGAACATAGCAGCCGATCGACACGCCTCCTGTTCACTGCCCTGGGGCTACACACCAACTCAACTTTCTAACGTCACGCCACCACGGTGGCGCTGCTGTCGGCGCTTGCTTGCCTAAGTGTGGGGAAGGGCATGTTGTAAACAGTGTCTTCGTGTATAACAAGCAAAGTGTCAAGGGCAAAGTCTGCGGTGCTGCAAACCGTATCCGAAAGTAAAGGTACAACTTGAGCGTCCTTCCACGGTTTTCCTCCTGTCTCGTATCGCGACCTCTCGTATCATCATCATCATCGAAGAAAACATCCGGGCAACCCGTGACTCTTGCACCGGAAAGGAAGTAGGGGCCTTCACCTACCTTCCCGGTCTGTCAAAACCCCACAGGACTACTCCCGGTCTCTCCCTCTCCGAAGTGATCTGACTGACACAGAGTACGGGGGAGGGGGCTGTCGAAGTAAGTTGGTTGACGGAAGGGCTGGGGTACCCACGGACGTCCTGCGGAGCGTATGGCGGCCGATAGCCGATTATCTGGATTTTTTTTTTCTCTCTCTCGACCGGTAATCACTTCTACTGCGCAACTTTTCCCCGCGTGTGGTACAGACGCCAGCAAGCACTCTAGCCACGCTTCACAACGCTAATCTGGCCACCGTGAATGAAAAATGCTTTGTTTGGGCGCCAGTCTGGCAACAGTGGGCGTACATACCTTAGCGAGGCTTGACTATCAGACGATCTACACACGCCAGTAGCAAAATGGCGGCGCCCAGAGTCC